GGAGTGTGATATTCTAATGATAACAGAACTCCCACCATTTGTATCACACCGCTTGCCGTATTTCTCACAGTGAATGTCATGGCGGATGCCCAAATCTATTTTCATTTTTATAAATAATACTTTTTTGTGTCACAGAATGAATGTACTTGTTTAGACTTAAAATATGCTGTTTGTTAATAAAATGTCTGTTTGAAAATTTTCTTAATTGAAAGCAAAATTGCTTCAACGTTCAAGTGGCTGTTCAGCACTCATGAACCCGCTGAGAGCAGACTTACCTCAGCCATTCAAATTAATGTTTTATTGTGAATATGAGATTGAGCTGAAGAATGAATGCTGTATCAGATGCAGGTAAGTTAATCAGACTCGCTCAGGCCATCTCTCTCTCATAATACTCTCTACATAATACAGTGAGCTTTTAATACAGTTATACAATAAGCTTTCAATGAAGCAACTCAACGTTCTTTTGTTACTAGATCTAAAGTGATGTTTTCAATTGAATAACGGAGGCTTGGGCTCAGCTGTTAAACTGTCAAACTGAGATTTCAATCGGTGGCAGAAGGAAGTAGTTCTGCACAAAAGAGGATTTTTTTCTGCACAACACTCTGTTGTTGTTTCGTATGTATTTACACGCAAGTATCGTCGAACTGTTGTATAAACGCAATATCACACTTGTAGCCATGAGATATGACTGTATATCGGCACGCTTTGATTTTCTATGGCCGAATCACAACCGTGTCCATATATAGCCATATTGCACTGCTACGAGTGTGATATTGCTCATACATTTAATGTGACTGCTCAGTGTCTTGCTTTTTAGCATGGGAAAGGTGCTATAATGTGATCTGAATGTACTTGGCCAAGTTATTTTAATGAGTTGGTTGAGCCTTAATTCTAATGTAATTCAGTAAAATAACTGATGATTTGTTCATATCATTCTAAGCTTAAATAAACATATACAGTGGGTACGGAAAGTATTCAGACCCCCTTAAATTTTTCACTCTTTGTTATATTGCAGCCATTTGCTAAAATCATTTGTTAATTTTTTTTTCCTCATTAATGTACACACAGCACCCCATATTGACAGAAAAACACAGAATTGTTGACATTTTTGCAGATTTATTAAAAAAGAAAAACTGAAATATCACATGGTCCTAAGTATTCAGACCCTTTGCTCAGTATTTAGTAGAAGCACCCTTTTGATCTAATACAGCCATGAGTCTTTTTGGGAAAGATGCAACAAGTTTTTCACACCTGGATTTGGGGATCCTCTGCCATTCCTCCTTGCAGATCCTCTCCAGTTCTGTCAGGTTGGATGGTAAACGTTGGTGGACAGCCATTTTTAGGTCTCTCCAGAGATGCTCAATTGGGTTTAAGTCAGGGCTCTGGCTGGGCCATTCAAGAACAGTCACAGAGTTGTTGTGAAGCCACTCCTTCATTATTTTAGCTGTGTGCTTAAGGTCATTGTCTTGTTGGAAGGTAAACCTTCAGCCCAGTCTGAGGTCCTGAGCACTCTGAAGAAGGTTTTCGTCCAGGATATCCCTGTACTTGGCCGCATTCATCTTTCCCTCAATTGCAACCAGTCGTCCTGTCCCTGCAGCTGAAAAACACCCCCACAGCATGATGCTGCCACCACCATGCTTCACTGTTGGGACTGTACTGGACAGGTGATGAGCAGTGCCTGGTTTTCTCCACACATACCACTTAGAATTAAGGCCAAAAAGTTCTATCTGGATCTCATCATACCAGAGAATCTTATTTCTCACCATCTCACAACTCCATGCGGGCTTTCATGTGTCTTGCACTGAGGAGAGACTTCCGCCGGGCCACTCTGCCATAAAGCCCCGACTGGTGGAGGGCTGCAGTGATGGTTGACTTTCTAAAACTTTCTCCCATCTCCCGACTGCATCTCTGGAGCTCAGCCACAGTGATCTTTGGGTTCTTCTTTACCTCTCTCACCAAGGCTCTTCTCCCCCGATAGCTCAGTTTGGCCAGACGGCCAGCTCTAGGAAGGGTTCTGGTCATCCCAAACGTCTTCCATTTAAGGAATGGAGGCCACTGTGCTCTTCGGAACCTTAAGTGCAGCAGA